CCCCCCCCCCCCCCAACCACCACTATTGTCTCTAATTGAATAGTTTAACCTGGGGTGCGCAGTAGACTTACCTCCACGTGGTGCACCCTGGGCAACGTATACTTCTACGTTAACTACTATTAACTGGCAGTTGACTTCTGACTTCAAATTTCTATGGCCCGTCTATTTTTCATATTCGACCCCTTCCACAGTACTCATCTTACCTTTATCTGTCTGTCTCTTTTCCCTCTGTGAATCATTATTCTGTCTCCCATCTCGACTTTTTTGGCACTTTGATGTTCCTTCTCCTCTTCGTGAAGCCTCGAAGTCAGCTCCAGGGCTAATGATAACTATCAAAACGCCTCCCATTTGGTATAAATAAATAAAATAGTCTAGTCTATCTTTTAAACTCAAACTACTACCAGTTACAGCTGTATGGAGCGCCCTCAGGGGCTCGCGATAGACTTGCCTCCAAGTGGTATACCCTGGGCAACGTATATTCATACGACAAAAAGTCTAAACCGGCAGTTGACTTCTGATTCCAAACTACCATGCCCCCCACGGTATGTCATATTCCACCACTTCCACAGTACTCACCTCACTTTTTTCTCTACCATTGTGTCTGCCTGTCTGTCTGTCTCGTTTACATCTATGAATCACTCTTCCGTTCCCCTATCGAATTTTGTGACTTTGATGGACATCCTCTCTGTGAAGCCCGAAGTCAACTAAAGGGCTAATGCTAACTTTCATACAAACTTGCTATTTGATATAAATAAGTATCTGTATAGAGAACATGTGCCCCCAACGCATACCCCTTACCATTGGAGCCTATTGAAGGTAGTCATCTACTTCTCTAACTTTTTAGCTTTTGGGACATAATGACTCAGGGTTGGAGACTCAGTTAATAAAATAATTAAGGCTACAGTTTAGTATTGCAGACAATACAGTGAGCATTGTCCAATTCCAAAAACCTATCAAAAGTACTTCACGATTTGATTAATTTAAGCGGCCTAGTTCCTACTTTCCCACATATTTGGAAATTAAATGTATTAATTGCATATAGTTGTAAAAATTTTAGAAAGTGATTTTAATTTATGCTTAAGTTGATCGAGGAACACATATTTGGGTTCCAATTGCCTAGTCTTTAAGGCAAAATCCTCCTATTAATTTCCTAACATGTAAAAGAATGAAAGTGGAAATAGATTCACTGAGATATAAGCGCATAAATTACGTCATTATAATTTACAGCGTAGTAAATAGTGGACATGGCGCTTAGCCAATCAAGCAGATGTTATAACAATAAAATTAACACGAGCCAATGAGAGTGAGGTTAACATCGAGTCATGTGATTTGGAAAATTCGCACAAATTCGCCAACGAGAAAACTTGCACTAGAAAAATATTTTAGTGACAATTAGCCAAGTGAAGTAGAAAGGGTATCGATCACTTCGTCAATTTGGCCAAATAAGGCGCCTTCGAGCCTCATATATGAGAAAATAATGAAGTGACGAGATCAGAATATCTGCATAAATGCCTAATCTATGGCAAACTCAATAATTTACCACTTTTGGCTCTGTAATTAATGTTCATTGATTACTGTCCTGACGTGATTCAAGCTAGAATAAAAATTATTTTAATGAGTGTATATACTTCTTCATTTTGGCTCATATTTGAGATGATTGAAGATAATATGGAGAAATATTTATAAATGATAAAACATAACCTAAGTATCCAGTTATGAAATAATTGAGCTATAATAACAAATGCATAGTAAGTTTCAGACCAAGTCACACCTCGAGAGCACCAATGCTTCAAGGTTAGCGAAGGATTTCAAGGTCGTCAATGTAATATGTTTACTCTTGAAATTATACAGGCCTCTCGTGTATATAATAATTGGCACTTTTTAAACATAACCGACCACACACCATGACATAGAAAGCGAGTTGTCATGGTGGCATGCATATAACCAGGTTCGTAACACCGCCTTGCCTTGGTGCGCATTTTCAAAATAATAAAAGTGAGTTCCACGTTTTCCTATTCCAGGAAAATTGATCCAAATAAGGTGATTACTTTTATTCAGTTTCATTAAAGAGAAATTTCAGAATAGGATGACTTCATTGTTTTCAGTTACTGAGGCAAGTGTATTAAAAATATGTCTCCAGTATTAGGCTAAAAAAACCATGATATTAATGTGATTGCATACCAGCTTTTGACACTCAATTGTCAGTTATCATGCGTGCCTGTCTACCAGTAATGACCAATCTAACCGGAGGGGGTGGGGGGAGAGAAAGGGAAATAACATTGATAATTCGATTAATAGAGGGATGTAGCAGAAATGTTCCATTTTCAAGATGATTTATTGATATGATCAATGGCAGCTTTGGCGAGACTATCAATCAATTCTTGAACAGGAATGCCTCGTTCCTACAAAAAGATCGTGAATCTCTTTCTTTTATTCTCAAATATCGGTCCACCTTAGGAGAGGTCCTTAGCCTGAACTTGTGTATATGAAACAGGAAGAAATCGCAAAAGACATCATCAGTATCGATTTTGTGAGCGTGTATTTCTAAATAATTTCAGTGAATGGAATCAAAGGGACAATAGCAGGGGGTTCTAATAATTGGGCTACCGCGATACAATAACCCACTTTTAAAGGCAGATGTAAAGCGTCATGATTAAGTCTGACCTATAATGACCCTACATTAAATACTTGAATTGATACTAAGATTATGGATGCTTTCAATACACGAGAAAATAATTTATTTTGTATAATAACTTAATATTCACGGAAAACCAGACGTTAAACATAATAGCCCTTTTCTTTCTATCAAACAATGAAATATTATGTAAATTCGAGAGCATAACGTGGAGGCAATTGAAATTCAATTATCGAAATTTCCTACCGAATTTGAATTATCCAAGTCCAAATATTGTGTCGCATCTTGTTCCATAAGTAATGGATGATTCTTTTCCGCATCTTCCACCGATGGTAATTCCACATAAATTAGTGATATGGAAGATGCATCACCTTCAACATCCGTCTCTAAACTCGAGCATTCCAGGGAGACCTTTCTTTCTGTGCGTCGACATCTGTTTTTGCGATATCCCAGACCAACCGATTCTGTTAGCTCTGTGAGCAGTGGGTGAGATCCAGATGGAACTCTAAAATATTCAAGGAGGATTTCATTGACTAGGGTATCGGCTGGTATGTCCAGAACTGCATCCATTTTGTGGCTTTAAGCATTCAGAGAACGAGTAACTCTGATCGCCAGAAAGAGCAGGTAAGTGCAAATATGAAACGGTCGTAATGATGTCATCTCTAATTATGCATGAGAGAGAGAGAGAGAGGGGGAGAGGGAGAGACGAGGCAAAGATAGCGAGAACGCTCTCGCACTCTCTAGCTCTCTGTTCGCACGACCAATCCGTCTTTGAGAAAGGCCCTACTGCAAGCTCTTACCCCCGCCCGCCCGCCCCCCCCCCTCCCACCTTTTCATTCATTAACTCTCGGTATTTTGATTATTGCTTTCTACTGAGGATTTCCATATTATCGATTAGCACACTCTAAAGGATTAGGAAATGCAAGCATTTCAAAAGTCGTTCAACATTCAATACACCTGAAAGGCGCGATTTCGTATAACAATTTTAAACTATTTTGTACTAAGTACATTTTTTCTTCCGAATTATTTCTTATTATGGAACTTAACATGAAAAATCTCTGCACATATTGTATTAATTTAAGGGAAAAATAAAAAAAAGGCTACTGCCCATTGGGAAGAAATGACGGTAAATTCTTTTTTTACGAAACTGTAAATTTTTTTAAGTTAAACGGAGCTAAGGCTTATATTTATCTGAACAAATTATTATACAAGCAATAAACGCTTTGCATTGATATTAATATTTATGGTAAAATAAGACAAACCTATTTAAAATGACACAAGTCGCATTCAATTTTTAATATATGCGATAAAAGCAAGTGAATAAAAAATGGCGTTCATATTTATTTGAATAAATGCTCAAATTTGTCGGAAAATTTTTAATCATCCATATTTGCATTTGAAGGTGTAGTTAAAAAAAATTGTTAGTGGACAAAGGAATTCAAGAACTTCGTTAAAAGTAAAAAAATGAATTAAATTTTACGGTATCAACTTTGTCCTCCCCCTTGGAAGGGACGTCACGGGAATGTCAGGACTGCTATCATGGCGTCAAGAATTTGAGTTCCATTCGCTGCTCGTTACATACGCTTGTAAGTAGGGTCAATGTCGTCTCTATGTCACCAAAGCAAATAATTTTTACTAACTATAGCCAGAGAATACTTTTAGGAAGTGCTATGTCATGGTGTACATATACATAGAAGTAGATGTTGTGAAGGACTTGAGAACACGTGTTCCACATGTCGCTAAGTGCAATTGAACTGGAATCGGTCCAAATTACTCTATGTAGCCAAATTACCACAATACAATGTGACCAAGATAAAAGGAATTCGTGTATGAGTAAATAAATATATTTTTTTGAATTTTAAGTAGTAAATGGAGAATTCCATGTGACCCGCGCGTAAATGCTCAATATTACTTTCGGTGCGATTCAGTACAGGGGACCGCTGTTAACTTTTCCGAACTGTATTACATGTGACAGGCATTCATTGATAGGCTTGTATTATTTTGAGATCGGAATTCAGGGGAATAGAGTGTAGTATACCATAATTCAATTCCATTGCGATTTTGAGCCATTGCATTGGGTTGACAACCAAAAAACATTTTTTAATATCAAGCCTACCTTGAGCGTCCTGTCTGCTCAATAATATTTTCCTCTTTTGTGCATTGAACCTGATTTTACTAAGAACCAGACTTTCCAAATTAGGGATGTGCGATAGATTTACCTCCACGTGGTGCACCCTGG